CAGGCACCACAACCTCAGCTCACATCCTCAGGGAGCAGAGGAATTACCCTCTGACCCTCCCAACCAGAGTCTCAGCCAAAGCCCTTGTTGGGTGGGTCTCTTCCTGAGGTAGAGGCTGGAAGACTTAGACTCTGACTTGAACCCCCACTGGGAGCCTGATGGTAGCAGCTTCTCTGGGACTCATAGCCCAGGAGAGGGCCAGGAATTGTGGGCTGCATGGCACATTGGCTCCCCATTCTTCTTCACGCTTTCCCGTAAACCTCAGTTGGGCCCCAGGAAGACTGAACAAGCAAGCACTTGCTTATCCCACCACCTTTGCTTGTCACCCAGCTGGGTCTGGGGTTGGAAGCTCATGTTCTGGGTTGTACCCTCGTGGTCATGCCTTGGCAGGACCACCCCTGCTTTGGGGGCAGAATGGAGTTGTTCAGGGTCCTACCTGTGGGCACCATCTTGGTACTTGTGATTGCAGGGGGCAGAGGCATGAGGTGGCTTGCAGAAACCCAGGCCCTTTGCCCTATTTCCTCCCTTCCAGGAACCCCAGGCCACTCATGAAACCACACGGGCTGGAGCGGATGCTGGGGAGGGCCACAGCCTGGCTTGTGCTGTGGCTCTCTGCTCCCCTCCCCCCAGGGCCAGCCCCTTCTAAACACTTTGTGAGAGCATAACAGGAGGAGACCTGTAACCATAGCTAGCATCTACCAGGCCCCACTTCCTGTCTGTGACCTTCACAGGCTCTGCTGATCATGCCTCAGTTTCTTCATTGGGATGGATGCTTGGTGACGTTGGTAACAGTGCTGGGTGCATAGCCCGGGTTCTTATCTGCCACTTATATGATCTGAACCTGAACAGCCCTGGTGTTGTTCTCACTGTGTAGAGACAGCAGTAAATGCGTTACTGTTGTCATGGAAATGATGGTAACGATGATAAACATTTTGCTCACTTGGTCTGAGAAGATGCTTACATTCACTTTTGCATCTGTTGGTGGGTCAGCAGGGGATGTGACCCAATTTCACTGTGAGCACACTCTGTCTCCGAGAGTTCAGTTCACTTGTCGAGGTTACATGGCAGAGAAGGGTGGAGGTGGAGGTGAGCTGTCTGGTGTCCATCTTTTGGCAGCAGCGCCTGGGTTGCTGTTGGAGTAGCAAGATGCAGTGGCCTGAATCTCTCCTATTGATGCCTCTAAGATGGGGTGCTCATGCCCTTATCAGGCAGACCTCTTTCTCCTGGAAAACTCTGGCAAACCCAAGGGTGTGATTGCTCCACCCAGCTGCAGTCTGCATCTGCACCCTTTGACCTTCTGAACTCCAGAAAAGCCCAGTGACTTCTTTGTCATAGCCCCTCCCCCACAAAATTGCTTGGCTAATAGCTGAGTACCTCTTTGGGCCCTGGAAGTTCTCACAGCTATCTCACTTTGGATGTGTGTCCCTGGGTTTTCAAATGGGAGCCTGTCTCCTTGGAGCCTGGTTCTGTTCTGACTCCGAGCAACCAGAATCCAGCTGAGTTCTGAATTGGGCAGGAAATCCTCACCTTTTACCACTTGGGGGGAGGGGGAGGCGGTTCCCAGGGTAAACACAGGTGATTGGGTGTGGGAGCAACCTCCTTTGTCTGTTGAGCTATCTCGGTGGCTCTCTTCACCTTTTTTATTTTTACTTGTGTGAGTGTGGTTGTCAGAGGGGCCAGATTCCTGGGAGCTGGAGTTACAGGTCCTTGAGTCACCTAATATGCGTGCTGGGAACGGAATCATCGTCCTTTGGCAAACCAACAAGTGTTCTTAACTGTTCAGCCAGCTCCCTGCCCCTCACATGCATCACTTCTTTTAAAATTACTTTATCATTTATGTGTGTGTGAGAGAAAGAGAGAGAGAGATAGAGAGAGAGAGAGAAAGAGAGAGAGAGAGAGAGAGAGAGAGAGAGAGAGAGAGAGATGTGAATGCATGCATGCACATGTGCATACCCGTGCATGCAAGGTTGTATGTGGAGGTCAAAGATGACCTTGGGTGTCTGTCATTGGGTACCTTCCATCTTGTGAGATAGACTCTCTCACTGGTCTTCATTGTGTAGGCTGGGCTAGCTGGCTCGCAGGCTTCCGTGGTCTACCTGTCTCCACTTCCCATCTCACCATCTCTGGGCTTACAGGTGCACACCACCACACCTGGCTTTTTAGGTGGGCTCTGGGGATCCAAGCTTGCAAATGCTTTAACTCCCCCCACCCCCAGCACTCTTCTGAGCCCTCTTCCGAACCCTAGATTGTCTTTTTGCCATTTGGTTGTGGTATCTGTCTAGTTTGGAAATGGCTCCACTGACTCCTCTTCCCTGCTCTTGGATGGTGTCCTTGGTACACGATGGCTTTGAACCTGATGAAGCTGAGTGTCACATTTGTGAGGCTGATTTACATGTGAGTGTGTCAAGGAACACATTGGCTGACCTGAGATGACCAGGGCTCCTTTCTGCATCCTTTCCTCTCGGTTGTATGGTCTCTGTTCTTCCATTTGGGGTTCAGTACATTCTGGGTTAGTTTCTGGTACAGTAGAGGAAGTGGCCTGATTTGATTTGCACAGGGATGTCCAACTGTCCTGCACCGTTGTTCAGAAGGCTGCCCCCAGGAGTGCACAGTGGGGCTGAAAGTGAACAGGCTGCTCTTGCGGGTTTCTATCCTGCCACTCAGCTCTCTCTCACTGCGCTCTGCCTGCCCTTCACAGTGTGGTGTTGCCCCCTAAGAGCCTGGCTAGATGGCCTAAGGAAGCAGCCTGTGCAGAGGCTCGGGACTGGGATGGCTCTTGGTTCTTGGAGCTTCTTGGAGTGTAGCCAACACTCCCCTGTGACTCTAGACACCAAAGTCTGCACTTCCCCTGCAGCTTGGGCCAGTTACCAGTCTGGCCTTTGTGCTTGGTTTCTGTTCCCACCCTCATTGCTGACCTCAGGCAGAAATAGAGGTGAGGGCAGTCAGCTGGGAACGGGAACTGACCCTTTTCTCCTTTTGACTGGGCCTTGACTGCCCTGTAGAGGACCCCTCTGAGGAGGGGCTGAACTTCAACAAGCAGGAGACAGCTGTTGTCTGTGAACAAGCTGCTGGCCATTCTGGCCTCCCGACTCTTTGCCGGCTTGACCAGAGTGCAGCTGGTACCTGCTTTATCCCTTGCTGTCCTATCCATGAGGAAGCTGGTGGTCCAAATTCAGATCCCAGCCCTTCCTCCCCATGGCTGGGGCTACCACAGTCTCCTCTGTTAGACAGTCTGGGACCTGTCTTTCAAGCTCAGCCAGGGGACTCTGGGGGTGTTCTGTGTCATTTTCATCATCACTGGCTTTCTAGTGACAGGTTCGTAGTGGGTGATGCTCAAGGAAGCATAAGTCTTTCTAGTTAGTGTGCAAAACCACTCAGGAATCCAGTGCAGGAGAGCCAGGGGACATTGCTGGTGAATACAGGGAATCGAGACCTGCATGGTGGCAGAGCCTGGGCCATCTGGTAATGTCTGGTTTAGGAAATTTCTCTGATGTCCTAATGCACTGACTGAGAAAGGCTGTGATCTGGCATAGGCACCGCCACCTCAGCATCGTCCCCACCACTGCTGGCCCATAAGTCTCCTCCGTGTCTCACATACCACACCTAGTGAGTGGCTGGAACCTTTTGTTTGAGACCAGCTGGAGGTCAGTTGGTAGAGTGCTGGCCTAACATGCAGGAAGCCCGGCTTTCCGCCCTCAGCACTGTATAAATTGAGCATGGTGGTGCATGCCTTTAATCCCAGCTCTCAGGATGCAGAGGCAGGAGGATCTGGAGTTTAAGATTCCTCAGCCTAGGTGACATGAGGCCATGTTTCTAGAAAACACGGCCTGGCCCCTGTCTATGTCTGAGATGGGAGTGAGGGGGAAGGGGCCAAACTGATGGCAGCTGCGTCCTGGGTCGAGGGAAATGGCTGGATGCTTTTTGTACTCTGTACTCTGAAGGAGAGGCCTATTTGTTTTTCTCTCACATCCCGGGGATTGAACCCAGGGTGAGCCTTGAGTGCATTAGGCAAATGGTTACCACTCAGCCACACTTGTACCCCAAGAGGCATTTTCCCCCCCTACCCATTTCACCAAGAAAGCTGGGACAACAATTGTGTCTGTGGCCACCTCTGTCACCTGCCCATCTTCCTGTTCTGTCTTGTGGTTCCCTCACCCCGCCCCCAGTCACCTACCGTTCCTTGTCTTGCCCAGTGTCTTTCCGACCTCATTCCCTTTGCAGCTGTTCTGTCTGCTGTCTGCCACGTTGTTCCCTAAGTGTATCCGACTTCCCAGTCGGAAACTCATTTCCTGATGTCTACTCCAGCTCCTCACAGAATTTCTCACTGCTGGCCATCGTGACAGACACTTGATCTGTCTTCGCTTTTCTGTCTCTCTCTTCTGTATTGGGCTAGGGTGGTCTTATTTCTATTTTCTTGTGTATTTAGATTGCGACTTCCAGGACACTCAGGTGATGCCCACAGAATGAGTTAATGAATGAGTGAGTGAATGAGTGAAAAAATGGATGTCTTTTTTGTCCATGGAATGACAGACCTGATGAAATCAGCTCAAGGGAGAAGGACTTATTATGGTTCATGGCTTTAGGAGCAGTGGGGTGGCTGGTCTCCTGTGTCTGTTTTAGGGTACAGTCCATCAGGAGCAGTGGGGTGGCTGGTCTCCTGTGTCTGTAGTCAGGAAGGAGACAAAAACGAACGCTAGCACTCAGCTCCCATTCTTCTTTGGGTTCAGTCTGGAAAGCCCAGCTTGTGGGATGGCACCCCCTGCCTCCTAGGCTGGGCCACCCTTTAAACCTCTCTGAAACACCTTCCTAGACACCCAGAGATGTATATTCTAGGTGACCCAAGTCCAGTTGTGTTCACTATGAAGACTAACACTCGCGTGAATGCGCAAGCATGTGCGTGCGAACTTAGCTCACCTCAGCACACTGGTTCGACATGGCTCCACCTCTGACCGGAACGTACCTGGACTGATTTCCCTCTTTTCGGCACTCTCCCACACTAGGAGCTGGCGAAAAGGACCCCTGGCAAGCACCCTGACCACCCCGCGGTGCAGAGTGCCCTGCAGGCCATGAAGACGGTTTGCTCCAACATCAATGAGACCAAGAGGCAGATGGAGAAGCTGGAGGCACTGGAGCAGCTGCAGTCTCACATAGAGGGCTGGGAGGTACGTGGTCAGACGGGAGAACCTTGGGCTGAGGGGGCTGGGCCCCCACTTCAGTGCAGACCACAGCCTGGTACCTATGTTTGGCCTGCCCTGTGTTTGCTTACAAGTGACTTAGCTGATTTTCAGTGAAACATAAAATTGCAGATTTCAAATTTCCATAGACAGATTGGTAGCACTGTTGCGTTTCCCTGCAGCTGCCACTGAGACTCTTGTTCCCTTAGCCCCGCCCCTGCGGGCCACACTTCCTCACTAAGTGTGCTGTGGTGCCTGGCCTACCTGCTGCCTACAGGCCTTGGCGCTTCTGCTCCCAGCATCAAGGGCAGCACTTCCATATCTGAATCCATCTCTTTTCCTGTGACTGTGGCAAATACCTGGCGGAAACCACGGGAGGGAGGGAGGTTTATTGTGGCTCAGAGTTGGCGGGTACAGTCCATCATGGTAGAGAAGTCATGGGCAGGCACTTCACACAGATGGGCACAGCAAACCCACAGGAAGCAAGCAGAGGTAAGATAGCTCCCTGCTCCCTTGTACGCAGTCTGGGACACCACCAGCTCAGGAGGTGAGGTGACACCACCCACATTTTAGGTGGATCTTCACATCTTAGTAAACATAATCTGGAAACTCACTCAGAGAAATGCCACAAGTCTAGAAGGGGGTTCTGAACCCTGTCAGGATGGCAGTGTCAGCCTTCCACACCACCCCAGGTCAGGACTCTGGTTCCATATGTCCTGGCTAGCTGAGTGACTTTTGGCACCTGCTTTTAACTTCTCTGACCCTGGTACCCTGTTTCTTACCTGCGTCTGTTGCAGGTGTTGTTTCCCTGTTCCCAGGGTTGTTAGTGGGAGGGACCACCCCAGAGTGTATGACCTTCTTTAAATCACACTTATTTGTGGGTGTGTACATGGTGTGCCTCGCACATGTGGAGAGGTCAGAGGATAGTTTGTGGGAGTCGACTCATTTGCTTCCACCGTGTGGGACCTGGGCATTGAACTCAGGGTCATCAGGCTTGGCAACAAGCCCCTTTACCCACCATACTGTCCCTTCAGCCAATAACCAAATGACGTTCTTAACCCTCACTTCTTGCTTCCATTATTGAACGTTTCCTGTGTGTCTATAGAAGGACAATGGAAAAATACAGCTAAATCTGAAAGGGCAGCTCAGCTGGAGTGAGAGATTAGGGGCTGAGATGAAAGGTTCTGGGTCAGACGCTGCTGTCTGGACACCCCCCTCCCCTCACCCGCCAGGCCTGGGTGGCCCTGGACGTCTGGGATTTAGTATTCTTTTCTTGTACTCCCCCACCCTGGGTTGAGGGCCCAGCTGCAGAGAAGACTGGGGCTTTGTTCAGAGAATACGGGTGACATGTCCCCTGCTCTTTCCTTCACTGGCCATCTCCTCTGTGAGAGCCCCAGCTCCCAGACTCCTTTGCAGATGGACTTTGGAATGGGCATTAAGGTTTGGCCTCGATCAAGTTGGAAGGTGGGAGAGAAAAGGTTCCCGCTTGTGTGGGAGAGGCGCTGCCCCAGGAGGGTCTTGTTTTCTGTGGCATCAGCAGAGTGCTTCCCTTCCCCCAGCTTCCTGGGCAGGGAGGTTCCAGTCACCAGCCTGAGTTGGTCGGTTGGTGTGTTCAGCAGTCAAAGTAAAGCAGCCGACCTGGCGTCTGGCTCCTTTGGCTGTGGGAGCTGCACATGGCTTTGCCCTAAAGCACAGACCTCATGACCAGTCTTTCCGCTGTGTCACAGGCCACTGTCCTGAGCTCCCTGCAGCATCTCGGTACACATGGGCATGGACTGGCTGCCGTGGGGTGGGGGTGGGGGCAGCTCCAAGGGGCTCACATTGCAGCTTGTTAGCAGTGCAGAGGTGGATGTGTGGCCAGTGGCTGGCCAGGCTGGGTCGCTGGCTCTGATCCAACAGGACTGTGTTTTTCTTATGCCTTGGGCATGTCTGCCACCAGTGTCCTTTCCTAAACCTGATGGCTGCCCTTTCCCTGTGGAAAGAGATAAGGAAGGTACGAGAGAGGTTGGAAGGTAGTGAGTGATATGTCACCTGCTTCTTGGTGTGATTAGGTCTCTTGACCATACTTGGTGCTCATTCATTGGTCAAACAGCCAGTGCCTGCAAAATTCCCTCCCCAAGATGAATGCAGGGGAGCAAGGATGTTGGTTGCCTCAGTGGGTGTTCTGTACTTGTGTATTTCTGTCCAGCTCCCTCTCCTCAGCTCTTAGGATCTGTGTAACCTGACCTGCCCTGCCAGGACTCTTCATAGGCTAGGTGCTGGCTCCTGAGGATTCAGAGTGACACTTTCCTCGTCCCTGTCTTTGCCCCTCCTTAGCACCTTCCTAATTCTCTGCCCCAAGTCTTACGGTGCTCAGTCAACCTCATGCACACCCTATGTGTTAGCTGCACTGACATGGGGTGCTTATCCGACAGCTCTTATTGATGCCAGAGGCCTTCAGTGAACCTAGCACTCCCAGAGTTCTGCCCTGCTGGTTCCCATGTGACTGTTGAGCCCCTACTGCAGCCCAGGGAAGGTTGCTAGGTGCTGGAGATCTCACCATACACACTTGGTGGTGGCCCTGTCCTTACAGAAGTGCTGATCTTGTAGGGGAGACTTAACAAGCCAGACTGCAGATAGATCACAGGGAAAGACAGACACCGGACACTCAGACAAACCCAACACCTGCAGGACCAGATGCTGACCCCCTGGGTCTGTCATTAGCCATGTGAATTGGTGTGTCCACTCCCTGCACCCCTGAGTGTCTGCTGTAGTAGAACCTGCAGTTCACTGATGGTGCTGTGCCCACACAGCCACCCGACAGATTGTGTTGTCTTCCTGTGTGCTGAGAGATTTGCCTGGGAGGCCGATAGGGATTTAGGGGTATGGAGGAAGGGGTGTTCGATAGCTAGTGCTGTCAATTTGACAGGATCTGGAGTCACCTAGGAGACAAGCCTCCAGGTAGATCTGTGAGGGAGTGCTTAGCCTCTGCACATGCCTCTAAGGGTTACCAGGGTTAGATTAGTAGGTGTGGGAAGGTCTACCTTAGCTGTGGCAGGGCCGTTCCCTGGCTGGACTACTGGACTATCCAGATGGAGAAAGACTTAAACAGCAGCATGGATTCATGATTCTCTGTGTAGGGTTTTTTTTTTTTTTAAACTCTTTGGGGTCTGCCACCCTGCTCCCAAATACATGAATTCATTTCTCTTATGAATGCCCGGCCTTAGTTTGGCTTGTTTCTAGCCAGCTTTTCTTAACTTAAATTATCCATCTACCTTTTGCCTCTGGGATTTTACCTTTCTCTATTTTTGTATGTCTTTTCTTTTTCCATGTCTGGCTGGGTGGCTGGGTGACTGGGTGATTGTGTAGCTGGGTGGCTGGCCCTGGCATCCCCCTCTCCTCCTTTTCTCGCTCCTCCCTCTTCTCTTTTTCTCCTTCTGTTTATTCTCTCTGTCTGCCATCTCTGCCTATCCTTTCTCCTGCCTGGCTATTGGCCGTTCAGCTTTTTCTTAGCCCAATCAGGTGTTTTAGGCAGGCAAAGTAACACAGCTTCACAGAGTTAAACAAATGCAACATAAAAGTATGCAACACATCCTTGCATCATTAAACAAGTGTTCCACAGCATAAACGAACGTAGCACATCTTCAGCTAACATTCCACAACATCTCTGCTTCCTGGTTGTGGCTGTGATGCAACAGCTGCCTCAAGCTCCTGCTGTCATGAGCACCCTGCCATGATGGACTGCAGAACAGAAAGCAGCCCTTCCTCCCTTGGGTTGCCTTTGCCAGGGTGCTTTCCTGTGCAACACGGAAGGTGCTAAGACAGGTGTGTTCTTGGCTGCTCATTCCTGCCCTCCATCCTCTCCCCAGGGCTCTAACCTCACAGACATCTGCACCCAGCTCCTCCTTCAGGGCACTCTGCTGAAGATCTCTGCAGGCAACATCCAGGAGAGAGCCTTCTTCCTCTTTGACAACCTGCTTGTCTACTGTAAGCGGAAATCCAGGTATGTTGCTAGGACAGGGCCAGGCTGCCCAGGTGATCTGCTGGGGCCGGCCAGTACTAAATGCCCCTTTCTCCAGGTGACACCTCGGGCTTGCCACATCCCTCCCTGGGCTTTTTCTTCTGAGTATTTAGGGAGTTATTCTAAATGAATTTATAGTATAAGTTGAATATGTTAATTTTAATTTTCTAGTAATAATATTAAATAAAAATAAAAAGAAACAGGTGAACTGGGGTTTAATAGTGAATTCAACTCAAAATGTTCACATGTTATATCTAATTATAATTATATGTAACTGTAAACAAGTTTTGAAAAGTAATAAGGAGGTGTTTTGCCATATGTTTTAACGTTCAGACTTTGAAGTGGTTTATGTATTAGCTTTACACCGCAGTGGGTCCCAGTCATATTTTCCTTGTGACCTTGTGTCATACAGCATAGCTCTAGACGATTGTAGAGGCTCACCAGCGTCTGGGATCCTAAGGTTCCCAGGATACAGAGTTGGAGGGGAGAAAGCTCTCACTGCTGGGCTGGGGAAGAAGAGAACGGTTCACCAGCATCTTCACATCCCTCACTGAGAGTCCCTTGGGTCATCTTAGCAGACGATGTCCCCTGCTTCCATTCTGTTTCCTGTGAGTTGTCCTGAGAGTGAAACAGTAACCTTCAGAGGCTTCTCCCAGCCTTATCTGGCCGAGACTGCAGCGGTCTCAGAGCACTGTGGCTTTCTGGCCGTAAAGCCCATTGTCTCAGAGCATCAGTTTTCAGTTTCCCAGCTCCTGAGCCCGTGTGGGGAAGCTGGCCACAGGGGATGGGTGGCTATTTCATATGTATTGTGAAGCCTCAGTTTCCTCTTCTACAGTGGGCCACATCTGTCCTCTGCATGTTTGGCTCAGAGTTTGACCACTTCTCTAGCTCCACGACCTCTCCTGCTTGTGCCTCAGTTTCCTTGTTTGTAAAACAGTAGGCTCTACTGAATGCACCTCACAGGGTCATTGTGGAGGTGAAGATAGTTAAGGGTCTGGCGCACGAAGTTGGGGCTGGCTGCTGGTGCTGTCCCCATGGACCTCACACTCATCCTGGGGTTCTTGGTGCCACCTTGGCAGCCCCAGGGCACAGAGCCACATGTATTGGCCATCCTTTCTGTTTTGGAGGCTGGTCTTTCTTGTCTCAGGTCTCAGCCTCCCATTGTGTCATCTCCCAGTGTAGACATGTTCAGCCTGCCTTCTCTCCAGGTATTCTCCCGCTTTTGCTCTGTAATGATCTCTGTTGCTGTCTCATGTCACCTGCCCTGCTGGTGTCACCCCCAGAGGCCTCCTTTGACCATCCTAAGGCTGCTGTGAAATGTCACCCCCAGTCCTTCCCTGCCCTGGCTGTTAGAAGCAGGCACTTTTCCCAGAGCACTAGGGTTTGGAAACAGAATGTCCCTTCAGAACCCTGTGAATAACTCCCAGCTGCTGGCTGTGCTGTCCCAGCCCTGGCTTCTTTGCCATGCCCTTCTTCCTCTGTGTCGCCTGCCCTAGGAGGAACAGTAGCTATTGCTACCATCTTGGTTTCTTTGGGGACTATCATTGGCCTTCCTGTGTCCATCCTAATCTCTCTGAAGGCTGCTCCTTCCTTAGTGACACAGGGATCTGGCCTGTGGAAAAGGGCACACCTGTCTCCTGGGAGGACCAGGAACCAGGCCACTGTCCAGCTTCTAGATTAGCAGCCAGAAGGCCGAGTGCCTAAGGGCAGGGTCAGGTGCTGGTGGCTGGAGCCTGGCTGACTGGGATGGTGGCTGCAGGAAGTACCTGATGCGGCTAGGCAGCTGCTGGCTCTCTTGGTCCCTGTCTGGGATGTGGTGGAACAGTCTGTGACACAGAGAGCTCCCTTTGGCCACCAAAGGAGGAAGAGGACATTCTAAAAGTCAGCCCTCTCAGTTACAGAAGGGGAAACTGAGGCCCACAAGAGCTAAGCCTTACACCGTGTAGCTGCCTGCTGTGTTCTGAGAGGCCAGAGACATAGTGGCTGAAAGCCCTCAGATCCTGCTGCTGCTGCTGCACGACTTTAGGCAAATGTTGTTTTCGTGTCTGTTATGTGAACTGAAGCCCAGATGTCCTATGGGGTATGCTTTGCAAAGCAGGTGACCCATCTAGCGCCCCACTAGCGCTTTGCAGAGCAGGCGACCCCATCTAGTGCTTTACAGAGTGGGCGACCCCATCTAGTGCCCCATCTAACGCTTTACAGAGCGGGCAACCCCATCTAGCGCTTTACGGAGCGGGCGACCCCATCTAGCGCTTTACAGAGCGGGTGACCCCATCTAGGCCTCACTGTGAAGTGGCTGGGACAGTGCCAGGCTTACGAGTGAAAAGTAGGAGACAGTTCCTGTTTGACTTTCTTTGGGTATTTTGCACATAGGTCACCTGTGTCTGAACTGGACGTGTCTTTTTGTCTACACTCCTGTCCCAAATCTTTTTCTCCTCAGTTCTTCCTTATTCCGAGAAGGAATGCCAAAATCTCTGTCAGTTAGGGTTCTCTGAGACACAGACCTGGTATGTATGTTCATAATGCACCTGCATGTTCACAGACAGAAACACACACTCATGCACACAGGCAGATAACCGTGTACAAACTGATGCATATCCATACACGTGTACACCAATGCATTCTCATGGAGTTTTGTGCCTGCATACATATACATACATGCACAGGCATATACAACATGCACATGCTCATACATACATGTATACACATGTATTGCCACACATCAGTGTACCTGCATACACAGGTGTGCACACAGGAATACACACATGCATACCCATGTGTACATGGAAGCAGGAGGGTGAACTTTGGTGTATTATACAAATGCACATATGCTTGCATTTGTGCATTTAAAATTTAAAAGAAAGCAGAGTCCAGCCAGCCAGTGCTTGAGGAAGCACATGGTTCCTCTTAACTCTCACACAGTCTGTCCCTCGTTACAGGCCCAGGGAGCCAGAGTCTGGCAAACATGCTCAGTACCCTGCTGCTTCAGTCCTTGCCGCTCAACTCCTACATGGAGTAGGAGCTCAGGTCTCCCCTCATACAGCTGCATTCTCAGGGAGGTCTGGCCAGCCTGCGGTCCAGGGTCCATACTGTTGAATTTACCCAGCTGTAGTAAGTTTGTCTCAGGTAGAGACGCCTGACCATAGTCCTAGCAGGCTCTGTAAGGATAGGTCCACCCCGTGGATCAAGGAGATGCAGAGGGCCTTTGCTGTGATCAGTGTTTCTTTGTGTGCTCCATCCCCTCTCCCACACAAGACAAGTTCCCCGTGTTTTCCTGTGCTTCCCTGTGGCCCAGCATTTGGCAGAGTGCTGGGCACCTAGCAGCCATTTCCAAGGACTTACTGAGTGTATTGCGTCTTACTTGATTCCCTGCCTATAGGAAGCCCTGCCAGGTGTTTTTTGTTGTTGTTTATTGATTGATAGCCTAATTTATTTGGAATGTAACAAAATGACATTAACTGGGTATCTTAAAGGATATAATTTTTTTCAACTTGTCCAACCTAGGAAGTCCAAGGGCAAGGCACCAGGAGACATGCACAGTCCGGCTTCCTTCTGCTTTCTGTTGTGTGTATAGTGGAAAGGGGACGGTATCTCTCTAAGGCCTTTTTGTAAAATCCCATTCATGAGATACCACCAACCTCTGTGCTCTAACCACCTCTCCTGGCCTCACTCCCACACCCAACTCTTGCATCAGGGTTTGGAAGGCAGCAGATGAATGTGAAGGGTCCCATGTTCAGACTGCAGCAGTGACTGAGTGGATGGACGACAGAAATCTCCCAAGTGAAAGCGTGTGTCGGGGTAGGGGGTGATGGATGCGTGAATAGGTGGATAAGGTAGGTGGGTAGTTGCATGGGAAGGTAGGCAGATGAATGAATGGGTGCATGGACTCTTGGGAGAGTGAGTATATGAAGTGACTGGATGAATGAACGAGTTTGTGGGTAGATAGATGGATGAATAGTATTTGGATGGATGGGTAGATTATAGATAGATGGTTAATAAATGGTTGGTTATAGATGGCTGGATGGACAATGGGTAGGTGTGTGTGTGTGTGTGTGTGTGTGTATGTGTGTATGAGAGAGAGAGAGAGAGGGAGGGAGGGAGGGAGAGAGAGAGAGAGAGAGAGAGAGAGCGTCAGCTAGTCCAGTGTGCTGAATTTCTGTTGTTGGTCTCCCATGAGTCTCCATTAACTGAAGAGTTGATCTGTGAGATCAACAAAGCGTTTAATGTATGTTTCAGATGGGAAGCCATGATAGTAGAGAAGAAACTCACTCAGTTTCCTGTCCACCAGCAGCCACCCCATGTTCCTCACCCTAGTCCAGAGCTCTTCTCTGTCCCTGGATGCCTCTCTGTGTTGCTGCCCCTTGTAGGGGATGCTGACTCCTTTCTGTCTTTCAGGGTCACTGGCAGCAAGAAATCTACCAAGAGGACCAAGTCCATCAATGGCTCCCTGTACATCTTCAGGGGTCGGATCAACACTGAAGTCATGGAAGTGGAGAATGTGGAGGATGGGACAGGTGGGCCCCTCTCCTCTAAACCCCTCCCCTCCCTGCCTGCCCTGGCATTCTCACTATGTTTGTGTTCACCATGTGTGTGCAATGCTCATGGAGGCCAGAGGAGGGCCTTGGATGATGTGGATCTGGAGTGACAGACAGTTGTGAGCTGCCATGTGGGTGTTAGGAACTGAACCCCAGTCCTCTAGAAGAGCAGCCAGTGCTCTTAGCTACCAAGCTATCTCTCCAGCCCCTTACTTTAGGCATTTTATAATGCAATCCTTTTTTTTTTTCTGCCTAAAATACTTTCTTTCACCATATTGGGTGTGGTGGTGCATACCTTTAACCCCAGCACTTGAGAGGCAGAGGCAGGTCTATGAATTTGAGACCAGTCTAGTTTGCATAGTGAGTTCCATGCTGGCCAGGGCTATGTAGTGAGATACTGTCTAAAAACAAAATATCACCTCTTTACCTCTTTAGTTTCCATTGCCCAGTATTTCACTTTAAATGTCTCTGCTTTTCAAACTCATGCATATAAAATGGCTTTAGATGCATGTGACCGTGTACATCCTTTTCTGTGTGTATAGTAAGGTAGTCATAGTGCCCTGTCTGCATTCTACATGGATCTTGCATTCAGTGTGCTGACCCTGGGATGCATCCTTGTCTCATGTAGGTCTGGGCGGGGCCTACTTCCTGTGGCTGTATAACATCTATTGTCTGAAAATCCACAGGCAGGTGACCAAAGCTTAGGGTAGTTTCGCCATTCCCTGGGACCGGGGATGCTGCATCTCAGGAGATGTTCTGTGAGCCTGTCTGGGGAAGGTTCCAGTGTGGTTTGAGCTGTGGCACATGCAGGCCCACAGCTGTTTCGCTGTCATGTTTTCAGAGAGGGTTACTCCCCTAAGTTCTGGGCAAGCATCTCTTCCACTATTACGTTTGTGCCCACATGAGAGGTCACGACACCTGTGTCACTGTCACTGTCAGTCGTGTTGGAAGGGACTGTGCAGATCTTTGCCTATGAGAGAGAAGCCAGGGGGAAACAGTGGTTGGGGGGAAGGTTTAGCTCCTCAAGCCTGGCCCTGGTGGTGGCCATCATTTTGCAGACTATTGGAAGTTACATAGCTATCTGTGTACTGATCCATGTTTGTCTCTCGTCCCCATCAGCTGATTACCACAGCAATGGCTACACTGTCACCAATGGCTGGAAAATCCACAACACGGCCAAGAACAAGTGGTTTGTGTGTATGGCCAAGACTGCGGAGGAGAAGCAGAAGTGGTTGGATGCCCTGATCCGAGAGCGGGAACAGCGAGAGAGTGGGTGCCTGGGCGGGTCCTGGACTGCCTAGGAGGTTGATGGGGTTCTTATAGGGTGAGGACTGTGCCTAGAGCACGGATCTTGGTCCCTTGCAGAAGTGTTGAAGCTACACATAGCAGGTGTTTTGATGGGTGGGGACATCTGTGACTATGTTGGGACCTGGTGGGTCAGTCAGTTGGACCACAGTCCCCATGTGGCTTACTGGTCACCCAGAGCATCTGGAAACAGCATCTTCTTTCCCCTGCAGCTAAGATGTTTGCCCAAACCTTTGTTTGTTGGTCCCTGAGTGAGAGTCCGGGGGATGGTCCTCAAGGTGCCCCTTAGGCATGGTAGAGAGCACCTCAGGACAGTAACCAAAGTGGTTCACTGAAAGACAGCACAGGGTTTGAGGTGACAGACCAGGGATGGGTGGGCTCTGACCCGTATCTCTGCCTTGAACTACTGTGGAGCCCACCAGACTGGAAACTTGAGGGGTCTGGGGTGACCTGAGCCTGAGCGGACTCACTCTCCTGCTGCAGAGGCTGTGGCCCTGCTGCCCAAGGCCTTAGATTTGACCGTCATTGCAAACTCAACATCATCTCCTCATTTGATCACATTGAGCCTCAGTTTCCCCCATGTACATCCTGCTGACCTGAAACCCTAGCTGGTATATGCACCATAGGCACCTCACATTTGCCGCAGTTCCATCACCCTCGGAGCCTGCTCAGTCTGCTTCCCAGCCCTTTGTAGCAGTAGATGGGCTTTCCACTCACCCAGTGCTGAAACAAACCCTCAGTGCCACCCGGACCCCTCATCATCCCTCTGTCCCTCTTCATTCAGGAGGTCATCGTGATCCTGCAAGCCTGCCCTTTGCATGCACGGCCCAGACCACTGGCCTCTCTCCCCTCCTCACACCACCCAAGTCACTGTCCTCATTCAGTGTCTTCACCTGTTTCCTAGAGAAAGCGGGGCCTTTTGGTAGCACTTCCCCATCTTAAATATCAAGCCTGAATGTATTAGAATACCAGGAAGCCAGATAAGCTCCTGTCTTTGGCCTTTGGATGGACAAGGGCTCAACGTCTGAAACTGTTCAGGGCTGGGGTGGGGTCGGTACTGGGGCAGGGAGTTGGCCCAGCTGGGTGGGGTTGATCTGCACTTTTGTGGTTAGAATCAAGAGCTGTGGTTAGCACTGGGTATATGTCATTAAGAGGTGTGTGTGGTCCAAGGGGACCTTGTCCTTAGATGTGAGTGTTGTCTGAAGTCCAACCTCAGGGCTGGGCACACAGGGATGGGCTCATACTGTGGTCTGTAGTCATAGCCCAGGTCAGGATATGGAACCAAACATCTTGGGATAAAATCTTGATACCACCTATTCTGACAACATAAGTTCCCTGGGTATCAGCTTTTCGTTTGTAAAATGGGGATAGTTGTGGCTCTTTTTGTGAGGAGCACGGGGCATGTATCTGAGGCCATGAAACACTCATTTGCTGTTGCTTTTGTTGTCTGGATGGGGTGGGGTTCAGAAAGAGACCATGAGTAAAGTTAAGGATGGGGCCCCGTGTAGATGGTGTGGAGGGGCAGGACCGTGTGTGCAGTGTAGAGGGGTAGGTTAAGGCTTTGGAGCTTGGCTCTGAGTTAAAGGACTACCAGTTACCCTCGGACTTAACCTGGGTCCCTTCCCAGTCCTTCTGAGCAGTCCCTGGTAGGTGTGTGACATTGACCAGGGGTCAGGAAGTGCTCTATGGCTATGCCAGTGTGAAGTTAGCAGGCATGAATACCAGAACCCCAGACTGCCTCCTGTAACCCCCTGGCAATCATGTCCCCACGCAGGCCTGAAGCTGGGCATGGAGCGTGATGCGTACGTCATGATCGCGGAGAAGGGGGAGAAGCTGTACCACTTGATGATGAGCAAGAAGGTGAACTTGATCAAAGACCGCCGACGGAAGCTGAGCACTGTGCCCAAGTGCTTCCTTGGCAAGTGAGTGGCATCTGATCCCAGCTGGCCATCTTCCTTTCCCACCCTACATCTGCCTTGCCCTGCCCTGTCCCATACGCCCTTTCTCTTGCCTGGGATCTCCCTGCACAGCCACCTTATGCCCCCTCAGACCTGTAGAGCAGACTCAGATGAGGGTCAGGGCTGGCGGGTTCTGCCGTAGTTCTGCCTGCTGTGTTTGCTCCTGTGTAATCTGCTTCCTGTAATGGAGTCCATGATAAAAGCTGAGATCTTCCCAACTCAGCAGGCTGGCCACACTCTGCCTATCTCTGTCTGTTCTGCCATGGCCAAGACAGAGGAGGCTGGGCTGTGATTAGAAGCTGGAGATGGAATTCGGAGGGTCTGGGGCAGGCTGGAGCCTGGTGGCCGGCATGGTACAGAGAAGACTGGAGATAGTGTCAATTGTCCTGGTAGGAAGACTAGATTGGAGACCAGTGTGTGGAGCAGGCATTTAGACGGCCTCTGAGTCAGGAGATCTGCTTTGTAGGCTACCATGTACTCAGAGGAGTCTGGGCCAGCAGCGTTGGGGGAGGGACAAGCAGAGACCTCTGTGGACAGTGGTCAGAGAGGTGGGGGTCCCTGGGTAGGGGTCAGTTCCTGTACACTAGGTGATGACATGGGCGGAGACAGTGAAGGAAGGAGCCAGACAGGAACCTGGTTTTAGAAATATGAAAATACAGAGCCCGGCTGAGTGTTCGTGTCCACCGGAGCCTGTGGAGTTAGGAGAGAGAACCCAGGGTCAACCTGAGGCCGGTTAAACAGGCTAGGGGTGGGGGTGGGAGTTGGGAAAACCAGGAGTTTTGGATTGCTCCATCCGTTGTCCTTGGGGGTCAGCAGTCCTGGCTCTCTGAAGCTTTGTGAAAAGGAGAGACCTGGGTTCAGGAGCTTGAAAGGTTAGAGGGGCACCTGGCTGTCTCCTTTGCTAATCCCTGATTCCACTTCATAGAAGGCTTTTCTCTAGCAGCTCCCCACTTCTGCCTGGGGGAGTACTGGAGAGCCTTCCTGCCAGCCCAGCCGGATGGGATAACCTGTCTGTGATTAAGGCTTCTGAGGCCCGGCTATCCTTGGGATTAGAGGAGATTTCTCTCGCTGCCCATTTGAACCCCAGCCAGCATCGCGGCTCATGTAACCACGGGGCCCAGAGGACCTGACTTCCCGTTAAGAGAACATGCTTCTTCAGGCTTAACTTCCTTCTGCATCTGTCTGGGCTTCCAATGCTCCTTCCCTGCCAGTGTGTAGCTCATGAAATCTCCAGGAGCCCTGGTCCCCTCTATAAGACTGATAGGTGGCTGGGATACAGGTCTCTCCCTCACTCAATCAATCGCTTTAATCTCACACAATACCGTGAGGCAAGTCCCTATTTTAAAGGTGAAGAAACTGAGGCATATAGAGGGAAAAGGTTCTGTTTGAAGTCACTGCCATGTGTGAAGATGGGATTCGCACTCAGGACAGGGTGACTCCAGAACTGGTGTTCTTTCTCACTGCCTCCATGCTTGCTTCTCTTTAATCTCTCTTCCGCATTTATTACTTCCCCCAATCTGTCTCCATGTCTGTCTGCTGCTGGACAGGACTCCCTGGTTGTGCTGTGTCTGATTTATCTTCATAACCTTTTAGGGCAGGGCTTTGAGTCAGACTGGGGCCGTGTCTTACTCCCCCATCTTCCTGCTGGATGACTTTGGACACTGGGTTAATGTCTCTCAGTCTCAATCAATGACAAGGAAGAAGGGCTGGAGGACCCAGTGGAAATGCAGTAGAGCTCAGCATGGTGCTGGCCAGGGCACTGAGAACACACGCTGGGCCATGCACGTGTCATGGTATAGGGACCGGTGGGAAGAAGTGGCCAGTTTGTGCTCCATGCAGAAAGTAGCAAACTTCACATTTCAGTGATAAAAATCTGTGTGCTGTGGGAAGCATGCTTGCGCATATGCGTGTGTGTGCATGTGTGTGTGCGTGTGTGCGTATATATCTGCCTTCCAGCATCCTCAGGTTAGCTTGAGAGACAAAATTGCTCCCTCCCTCCATCCCTTACTGGTTGCCAGCAGGCAGCAGGGAATAGACAAACATCTTGCTGACAGGGATGACCATCCCTACGGGAATAGGTCAGTAGACAAATGGCCAAATTAAAGAAGGAAGCCATTGGCTCAGCGAATGCTGCAAGGCAGTTGTAGAATAATGTAAAGGGGAGAATTGCGGAGCTGATTCAGCCAGCCAAGATGGGCCTCTTAGGAAGGTTGCGTTTTAACCAAGGTCTGAGTGACAAGAATCAGCCACGAGAAGACCTTGAGGAACAGCATGCTTGGGTTGGGCATCACAGATGCAAGAGTCCGATGGCTTGTTTGAGCTGTGGCACTGGAATGGCAAGGGATGGCATGAGACCCAAGAATTAGCAGGACTGCATTTGGTAGCACTGGGTCATGGGTCAGGTTTTTGTTTAGGTGCTCAGGGGGCTCAATGGTTGAGAGAGATGAGTTGTCAGGCTCGGGACCACTTGGAACAAGGTGTGCCAGTCAGGCGGTTCAGTCAGGGAGGTTTCTTGAAGGTGAAAGAATTTGCTGCAAACTTCGACAGTAGTTAGATGTCATTGGGAGTTCCGAGGTGGGAGACTTTGCTGGAGCAACTGTGTGCACAGCTGTGTACAACAGAGACCAGACTGAGCACTGTGGCACATACTGAGACAGACGGAGCACTTCAGTCCTGGCACTCGTGAGGCTGAAGTTCGAGCAGTGAGCAAGGCAGGTAGGCCTGGGTGACTAGCAAGAGCCCGTCTCAGGAACTAACCAGCCAACCACAGAAGATCCAAAAAGACTTGTCAGGGACTCCGTAAAGTGCTTGCTCCGTGGTAAAAATGCTTGCTGTGCAGACATGAGGGCCTGAACTCAGATACCTAGTGCTGGGGAGCAGGTGCAGACAGGTGGAATCCATGGGGCTGGCTGAGCAGCCAGTGTAACTGCAGTGGAGACCCTGTCTCAAAAGATAAGGTAGAAAATGATAGAGGAAGATGGCCCAGCACTGACCTTTGGCCTCGCACGCACACGCAGAGCTTGAACAGGCATCGCCATGGACATCGGCAGGGACTCTGTTCCTGGGACTCACAGGTGCGCATGTCAAACCCAGGCTCCAGGCCTGTGCAGGAGACAGGCGAAAGGATGTTCGGTTCTTGGGAGTGCGTGGCACAGGGGCCACTGGTCAGGTGGCTCTCAGGAAAGAATGGCAGAGGTGTGCCCAGGTGTTCCCTGTGCCCAGCCTTGGCCTTGACCTGCAGCAGGCTGAGCCATGTCCACTGGGCAGGGAAAGGGAGAATGGAAGCATCCTAGCTGTGCGTGGGCTCCACATCCCACCTCAGTCCCATTGCACCGTTGGGCACCCCACCTCATCTCAGTGCCTCCCACAGCTGAGGGAATGTCTTTCTGGAAGCCTGGGCCTGTTTCCCTTCATAACCCAACCCAGAGCTACCGTCAGATCCCAGTTCCCTGCTCGGAGCTGCTGTACATTCTGATGTCTAATTTGGAACACCTCTCCTCCACCCTGAGACCCTGCTGGCCTGGTACAAATGGAAGCCTGGAGAGGGGGTTCGGAAAATCCTGGGTTAGACAGCTGCATTTAACAACTGGGAGCTTTGTAGGAACTATCGAGTGTTCCTCTTTCGGAGAGTTGAACCCACAGGGTTGCCATGGGCTCTTGGAGCAATAGCTTCAGCTTTGACTGGTTTGGCACAGTCTCCCCCTCCCCCGGCCAGCACCCCCGTTCAGAGTTCGAGGTTCCTGCGGAAGAAGAGATTAACTTTATCTCCTTACCCCCTGGGTTCCAGTTTAAAGTTTCACAGGATTAAAAAGTCCACCCACTAATTCCAGATGTCCTCAAGCAAGCCAGTTGTTTGAGCTGCATCCTGTTGAGCTGCGTCCAGCTGCATCTTGTTCCCCAGAAAGGGGCAGCTTTGCTTCGGTTCTGCCCAATAAGCTAAAGATCCAGCTTGGTTTCCCAAAGGGTAGCAGGACCCAGCGTGGGCAGTCACCGGTCAATTGCTCTGCTTTGTCCTCCATCTGTCTTCTGCCCCTGCAGCCATTTTGGGATACTTCCTGTCCCCACTCTGGCTACAGACCCCTTGTTAGGGGTGGCCCTGGCTAGGACAGCTGGTAAACAGCCCTTGACTGAGTCTCCGGCCTCCAGCCTCTGAGAGTGGGCACACCAACATCTGTTTGCCTTCTGGGGTTGCTGGTAGTCCTTGCCTTACCCCAGAGTTGAGAGTTTGAGAACAGAATCAGAGGTGGGGGCAGGGGTGTTGCGTAGGGGGATGCAGAACCTGGAAAGTTCCCACCTAGGGTGCCAGAAATGTACCTGTTTCTTTACCATCTCTCCGGTGTCCTGTAGGCTTTCTGAATGCCTCACAGTGTTGCTACCTGCATGAGGGCAGGTCCTTCCTCTGCCAGCACAGAAAGCTAAAAATAGCGCCCCCTGCTGTAACCGGAGGTGGGACAGCTGGTTTTCATAAAGAGGGGACCAGGCACTGCTGCCCACACTCGTGGGTCCTGCCTGCTCTGGACTCACCCTCTTCCGCTAACTCCAGTGGGCTGAAATCTGCTGAGCCCACGTGGCCACGGGGGCTGGGACCTCAGAGGCCTGGCTGAGTCTGACCCCTGGACTGTCACCCGGAGCCAGAAAAGCTCACCTGTCTCATCCATGCCCCAACCTTTCTGCGGACCCTAGAACATTCCTTCTTGCTCATTCCTCATTTGCTTCATAGAAGACTCTTGAGATCCAGAGTATGTCAGGGAAAGAGCCACAAATAAGATCAACTCCATCATCCAGGGGTTGCATTCTGGTTGTCTGTGTGGGCAGGAAAGGAAACTAATGAACGCACACAGACATCTGTTAAGTCATACTGCAGAGACTTCTTGGCACAGAATGGAAGGGCATCAGGATAGGTGGGCTGCTGGGTCAGGCCCTGGGGGTGGTATGGAAAGAAGAGCCAGGGAAGGGCATTTCTGGGTAGACGAGCAGTAATTGCAAAGGCCCTGAGGCATGATGGGATGGAGTCTAGGAACTTTGTTGTTTGTTTGTTTGTTTGGCTTGTTTTTTGAGACAGGGTTTCTCTATATAGCCCAGGCTGTCCTGGAACTCACTCTGTAGCCAGGCTGGCCTTGAATTCACAGAAATTCACCTGCTTCTGCCTTCTGAGCCACCACCCCCTGGTTGGATTTTTTTCTGGATGTGAATTGTGGGTGGCTGATGAAGGTGCACATATATCTAGGCAGATGTGTGGGACAGCTGAGGCAGGACTGAAGTCCCTTCTGATGAAAGGGGAAGCTATTGGATTACTGTGAGGACAGGGAACATGTGATTTGAGCCATCTCTCCAGTCAGCTTTCTGGGCTTGGCATTGCCTCCTGCTGATTTTGTGTGTTTCATCTACATACTACTTACTTACATACATACATACATACATACCCATCTAGTATCTGCTCACCCCCATCTAGCCATACCCTCCTCCAGCTATCCGTGTGTACTCCCACCATCCACCCAGCATTTCCTGTCCACTCAGCCAGCCCCTCCCCCGACTCCATATCTACTCATCCATCGGCGTTGATCTCTTGGATGGTTCGTTTGTCATCCATTCTTGTCACTTGCCTTCACATCACGTGGCCTGGTGTCTGTCCCTTGCTCATGCCTCCATCCACAAATCTACCATCGAGTCTTATCTAGCCATCCAACATCTGTCCTCTATCTGTCCATCATCCATTCACCCTCCTACTCCTCTGTCTACCCACACCCATCCATCACTCATCATCTATCCATCCATCCATACCCTACCCACCTTCCTCTTCCCTGTCCTCCTTTTATCCATTATTCATAATCTACACACCACCCATCTATCCATCCACCCACCTACCCATCTATTCATTCACACTCTCATAAACCACCCCACCTATCCTTCCATGTACCCATCCATCTGTTCATCTACCCACCCACCCATCATTTATTCATCTACTAACCGTCAGCCATCCATCTCTCCTTTCACCCTTCTATCTATACGTCTCCCTTCCCACTAGCCCATCACCCACCCATCCGACCTCCTGTTGTGTATCTGTCAATCCTTCACACATCTATTCCTCTACCATTCCTCCATTTACCAAACATCCACCATCCTTCCAACCATGCACCTATCTGCTCATCCATTCATGTGCCTGCCACCCATCCCTTCAGTCATCTCCCCCCACCACACCAGGGTGGATGAGGCAGACCTGTGTGTGACTGGTCTTAGTCACCTGAAAAGGCACAGATAAACCACTGTCTCTTGGGCCATGGCTCCTGGTTTTGTGTGCCTGCAGGAAGATCTGCCTATCATTCCTGGGGTGGATGGGGCCAGGCCAGCTTGGTTCTGGTTCCAGGGCCGGGGACCATCTCATCATATCTTTTGTTCCTGGCAGCGAGTTTGTCGCCTGGCTCCTGGAAATTGGCGAGATCAGCAAAACAGAAGAAGGAATCAACTTGGGCCAAGCCCTGCTGGAGAATGGTATCATTCACCATGGTGAGTGGAAGAGGTGTGGCACGGTAGGCTTGATGGCGGGGAAGTGGTCCTTTACCCAGAAGTCTGCTCCCATACTTCAAGTTGCTGACCCAGGACCACGGCTGCCTCATGACATTTCTCTGGGGTGGCAGAATGAGTATTCTCTTGGGCACCAGCAAGGGAGGATGCCTTAGAACAGTTGGCCAGGGAGTAGAACTTTCTATTTGCCTCTCCAGAAAGAACGAGCCCTCTGTTTAGGTTTTAGCTAACTTGTAGGTGTCTGTTGCATGTCCCTTGCAGCAGACACTGCTTGCATGCCTGTGAACGGGACAGATGGAGCATCCCGTCCTCACAGAACTGACCTTGTGCTTGGAGGGGTATCGTTGTGGCATGGTTGATGCTGGGAGAGCAGAGAGGTCAGTGTGGTTGTGGGCTCTCAGTTCTGAACAGGAGCTTGGGGATACCTCCCCTAGAAATGAGAGAGGCAAGTGGGCTCTAGGGCTCTTTATGATCATCATCTAGTGCCCAGGGGGATGCTGAGTGGTCTACAGGGAGCAGCAAGGAAGGCAGTGAGGCCTCCTCCTGAGTGGACAGGGGCATGGTAGGAAGTGAGACCAGGTGACTCGGAACTGGGGAAAGACTCAGCTGTGAGGTCTGAGAGCTCATGGCGGTCACTGTAGAATGACTCCAGCCATGGCTGGTGCTGTGGAGAGGACGGACCTGCCACACTAAGCCCTGGCCCAACCCTGGCGGCTGTGTGGGCCCACTGAGCCAACCAGAAGCCGCTGAGTGTCCAGGTGGGAGTGAAGTGTCTTCGTTCTTAAGAGATTTGGACTTCTGGCTATATACAGAATCTGCATCTGGGTCTGAGTCCCCAGCAGAATGGAAGGATAGCTGTGCAGATCCCAGCTGTGTGGGCTCTCCCCTGGAGTGCTTGGTTCCCATTTAAAGGACAGGGCAAATCAGAGGTGTCCACAGGTGTCAGCCAGATTGCTGGTCTCTGCCAGGCCTTCCCAGGCTGCGTGTCCCAGGTCTCTCAACGTACTGGGGGACCAGAGGGTGGAGGTGGAGGGTGTTCCTAGCCTCACCAGTCCCTGGGTCTTTCCAGTCTCTGACAAGCACCAGTTCAAGAACGAGCAGGTGATGTATCGCTTCCGCTACGATGATGGCACCTACAAGGCTCGCAGCGAGCTGGAGGACATCATGTCCAAGGTAAGATGTCCTTCAGCCTGGAGGATGTCATGTCCAAGGTGAGATGTCCTTCAGCCTGTGGCCCCGATCCAGCTGGAGGTCCCTGCAGAGTGAGCCCATGTCCCCCGTAGCCTGCCCCTGCCCACCCTGAGTTTCCCAGCAGTCTAGAGGATGTAGCTCATTCAGACCTTGCTCTTGCTCGTAGGGCGTGAGACTCTACTGCCGTCTGCATAGCCTCTACACCCCCGTGATCAAGTAAGTCCCCACGGCGTACCTTCTACCAGTATCTGCGTGGCCCCACCAGTATCGGGACCTCTCTGAGATTCAGGCTCCTCCATCAGACAGGGTTAATCACTGAGCTCCTCTGTCAGGCCATCAGGATGAAGTGAGTGGATTTGTGGGGTGTGCTGCAGTGATAGTAAGGGGTAGGTTGACAGTAACTGGATCTACATACTGGCTCCCAGCTGCGGGACCCCGGACAGTGCCTCACCATTCCTGTCTGAGGCAGGGTACGAAGTGGGATGCACTGCAGGGCCTCTGCGCTCGCTGTTGCTGTGAGGTGCTCTCTCCTCCATAGCCTTGGCTCTCCCAGAGCCTCCTTGTCAGGTCGGCTTCCCTGGCTGCCTTTACATTTTATTTTTCCTGGGATGGGCCCAGGGAAGAGACCCAAGTGTGGGACACATGCTCCACCACAGAGTTCCATCTTGAACCTGTCTGGCCCCCTCCCTCGTGTCCCACCCAGGAACTCCCCATGCTTCCTGTTAGAGTCATGCTTTCTGGTGCTCTGTGCCTGTGTTTGTCACTCCCAGGGACCCCTGTTCCCATGAGGTTTGCAAATGCTCCAGGATACGGAGTCTAGACTTTTTTTTTTTCTGAGATGAGGTCCCTCTGGGTAGTCCTGGCTGTCTTTTGTAGACCAGGCTGGCCTTGAACTCACAGAAATTCGCCTCTTTCTGCCTCCCAAGTGCTGGGATTAAAGGTGTGTGCCAGCACCACCTGGCAGATTTATTTTTAATTTAATGAAACTTTTATTTTGATTTTCTGGGCTGCTTGAGCCTGAATTCAAATGGCTATGTGGCAGGGCATTGACCTCGAGTGGCGCAATCCTGCACTGGTGTTTGTTGAGTGACTGTTTCTATTCCAGCCAAACGGGCCCGCCAGCAGCTTAAAGTTACAGTGCTGGAGTCACGGAAAGTATGCTCCTAGGCTCCTGGCATCAGAAACGAGCGGGTCAGGCTCTGTTAGGAAGCCTGTGGTTGTGGGTGGAGAGACAAGGACAGGGCGACATGACTGTTGTCCCAGGGACTTCGTCCATCCTGTTCGTGGTCTGTGAGGTCAGGCCCTGCAAACGCTTCCCCCACAGCCCTGCCTCCTCACTCACCCCTTCTGCTGCTCTGTTCTAGTCCTAAGAGGTAGTGGCTGAGGGGCCCAGCCTCTTTCTGGATTCCAGTGACCTCTGCCTGTGTCCAGCGGCCTCCTGGGCCCCACGGATTCTGCCTGTGTCCAGCGGCCTCCTGGGTCCCTGTGGCCTCTGCCTGTGTCCAGTGGCCTCCTGGGTCCCTGTGGCCTCTGCCTATGTCCAGCAGCTTCCTGGGTCCCTGTGGCCTCTGCCTGTGTCCAGCAGCCTCCTGGGCCCCTGTGGCCTCTACAGATGCCCAGCGGCCTTCTTGGCTCTGTGACCTCTGCCTGTTCATTCCCTACTGGCTTTCCCTGGGCCTTCCAACCTGCTGGCCTGACTTCCTTTTTCTTTTTTTAGATTGTGGTGGGGACGTACTAGGATCCTTGCTTAGTGTCACAGCTGACTATGCCTAATCCTGAACATCCTTCAGCGGCTCCAGCCAGAGCTGTAGAACTCTGTGTTCGTCAGCTTAAGGCTGAGTTTGTCACTGTTTGACTGTTCAGGTCCCATAGCCCCAAAGACTAGCCAGGTAGAGTGCATACTTCACCAGGACACTCCTGTACCCCCCAGGTTTAGGCTCTGCTCTGTGCTTAGAGCCCAACCTGAACTTAACCATGTGTCTTTGAACATGTGTGTGTCAGCACCAAAACAAGACAGAGAAACAGGGGAGCCTCCCTTACCCCTCCTTAGATACTCAGGGTTCCTCAGCCATGGACTGTGGACATTTGGCCAGGAGAAGTCCTTGCTGTAGAGACATCTGGCACTGTACGATGCTCATGGTCCCCAGTGTGGCACTCCACCCTAGGGCAAACCTGTCCATGCCGGCAAAGCTGCCTCAAGAGCCATGACTGCACAAAGAGGTCCCCTGGCTGCAGTCCGAGGCCTCCTCTTCAGTTTCTGATGGGGCAGCTGGCCCCTAAGTCAGGAGTGGGTCGACCTCTTCCCCTGTCTGTTGAAGATCTTCCAGCTGGAGCAGACTCCAGAAACCAACATGCCCCCCTCCATACAGCCAGTCATCATCTAACATGCCTCCCCTCACAAGCCCCACTCATTTGTCCTCCTCCTCCCCAGGGACCGTGATTACCACCTGAAGACTTACAAGTCCGTGGTCCCCGGGAGCAAGCTGGTGGACTGGCTGTTGGCGCAAGTGAGTATGAGCGGCCCCTGACTGTGTGGTTTGGAATTAGCCATGTAGCTGGGGACAGGCCCAGCTCCTTTCTGCCCTCTGTGTCTACAGTGTGACCACACAGGGAGCCTCACAGAAAGGGACTCTGTCCCTGGGCAGCAGCTTCCTTTCATGTAGTGTCCTGGTGCTCAGTGATGGTGTTCACGCCCAGCCTTATACCTTTCTGCCATCAGAATGTGCAGTCTTCTGGGTGGTTGCTGCGCCATCACACTGTGGCAGCCACAGCTCCAGGCATTACACCCGCACAGAACTGCAGTCAAAAGGCAAGCAGCAGGGAGAGTTGGGCCTTTTCATTTCACGTAATGTTAAGGGAGGAAATGCCTCAAGTTCTCGCTGTCCAAATGGCTTGTCCCCTCAGGACAACCAGGTGTCACTGGTTGGATGAGCCCCACTTTTAAATGCTTAATCCAGTCCATGCGAAAGAGACCAGGAGTGTTGAAGGGTCCCGGATGTTTCAGGATCCAGCCTGGGGTGCTCGGGGACAGGTTCACATGCTTGGGTTTGAGTTAGAGTTAAGACCCTAAAAGTCAGGAGTACCTAGCCCAGAGAAACCAGCCATGCTATGTGTGACCTCAGATCACAGAGTGTCATCTTCTTTGACCCTCAGGATGCATTGGGGTGGTGTGGTAACCGTTCCAGTGTTACAAATGGGGAGCCTGAGACTTAGGTCATGTGACTTGTTCTGAGTGCACAGCCAGATAGGGAGTGCTGTGTGGGGACACACCACCTTGATAATAACCAGCTGTGGGCTGATGGTGACCGGGGCAGCACATGCCAGCCTTCCTCCTCTGTGCCTTCTGGACCCAAGGGCCAGCGCCAGGGCAGAGAAAGTGGACAGTTGCGTCCCCTGAGCACCCCTTACATTCATCACCAGGGCCCAGCAGATGGTGTTGCTAATGGCCTGGACATCTTAGTCACAGGAGGGACCACATGGGTCATGCAGGGAGTGGGCACATATAAATGCATTGTGGCAGAGTCACAACCTTGGGGACAGTGATTGCCCTGTGGAATCTCAGATTCCCTGTCTGTGACGTGATAGCTCACGAAACCCAACTCAGAAATCCTCCTTGTCATCGGGCAACCTGAATCAGCCCTCCCACTTGTGCCTTAGTTTCCCCAGCCATCAAGGAGTCGGTCAGTGGAAAGATGGAGTGTGGTAGGCATGGTGGGCAGAGGTATTCCACATGTGTCTGTGGTAGTCTGTTACTCATACCCTCTCTGTGTGCATCCAACCCTGTTTTGCTTCCACTGATCCCTTGAAGAGTCAGGTGACGAGATGGTGGTGGCTCTCCTGTGTTCCTGTGTGCCAGGCAGGGATATGCACATTTTGCTCCCAGGAGCGTCGGGGAAACCCCATGACTCTCAATTTAGACATAGCAGCAACTAGAGATGAGTTAGAGAACACTGCCCAAGTTGTCCTCCCCCTCCAACTTGTCCTCACTGGGGCACCCATGTCTGTCACTATGGCTTACCCTGTGTCCTGAGGAACCTCCTTGGGCTCTGGCTCCTCTGTTGATAGGACAGACAGGCGAGGCTGGTTCTGAGCCCTTTGCAAGCCGAGTGGACTCCAGAAGCCGACTAGTCCTCTTGAACCGAGCACCCAGCCAAGGCTACCTGGATTGGCAGTCAGTCCCCTCTAGACCTATGGGTCAGGACAGTTGCTGTGGACTGTTCCTCCCTGTTGCCTCCTCTGTCCTAACTCCAATTTTGCCATTCCCCTGCCACTGGGCTAGGATCCCTTAGGAGCTGTTTGTCTTCTCTGTGATCCTCAGCTAGTAATACAGTGAGCACTGAGGCCAAGTCTCTCAGCCCCTCCCCAGGGTCCCCAGTCGGCCCCCACAACTCCTTCTGGAGTCCCTGCACCTGGTCCCCATGACTGGCCTCACAGCCGCTGGAAAAGCAATCAGGTCTCTTTGGCTGGGAGTACCCTCCTCCACCCTCTAGGAGGAAGGTCAGGCCTGCTTGGCTAGGTGTCTGGCAGCCCTTCCCTTCTGTGTACTGTAGCAGTTGCATGCAGGGCTGGCTGCCTGTGTGTCTGGCAGCCTCTGAACCTGGCCCCTAGCTGTCAAGGTGCTCCCAATCACAGTCCTTGATTCAGTTGGCAGCTGTGCCTGAGCCTGCCTGCCTTACCTCCATGCTGAGGTTCTAGCCTCTCTCTACCTGGTTAGCAGTGAGATTCTTTTTTTTGTTTTTGGTTTTTTTTTTTGAGTTCTAAATCTGTTGTATTGGGATACACCTGTGCTTCAAGCATTTGGGAGGCTGAAGTTGGGGCGGGAGGTTGGGGGGGGGCGAGGATCCAAATTTAAAGCTTGCCTGAGCTGCAAGCTACACAAACATATTGGTTTGGGGAGGGGTGGGAACTAAGAGCAGGCACCAGGAGTCAGGTCCCTGCTCCCCATCCTTTGAGATCAGCCAAGTCTCCCAAGTTCTGCTGACATGTTCTAAAGACAGAAAGCCTAAATGAAAGGCGACTGTCGGAGGCCACCTATCTAGAAATGTGCAGCCGGGTGACTTTGGGGACAGATAGTTTTCTCAGTAGCATCCGCATGAGTCGGACTTCTGCCCGTCATGCCACCATCCTCACATGGCTTTGTCCCTAGTGTCCCCTTTCCAGAGGTTTGCAGAAGCCCCTGCAGGCTTTTCAGGCACCATAGACTTCATTTCTGCCACCAGGGACACGTCTACAGACGTAGAGAACAGAGCAGACCGGGATTTGTGCCTCTCATGAGAGCAGCACAGAGGTTGGTGGCCCGGCACATTAATGTGTACATGAGGTCTTTGGGAACCACTGTCTGTGTCCTTCTGCTCTGCCACCATTGCTGTAGTTTACCTTGCGGTCACATTTTGATCCAGAATGATTGCAGAAGCACCAGGTGTTACTCCTTTGTTCAGGGCAGGAGTCTGTGGGCACAGGGGACTTACCACACTGCCCTTGCTGTGTCTCATTGCCCACCCTAACTACCCAGGTTGTTGTAGAAGGGGGCGAGAGTTTCCTTACTAGGGAGGGATCAGGAAAGGGCCGTTGTTAGGCAACCAGAAACATCTAACAGCTTGACTCCCTTGTTAGGAGTTTATTAGGAGTAGGTTCCAAACATGTTTGGCGACCTTGGTACTCAGTGTGACAAATCTCTGCCCTCATGCAGCCTGTGTCTCCCGGGTGGCAGCCTGCCATGGGTTGCCCTTAGAGGACTCAGTGCTGACTCCCCTCATGGCATCCCCTTCTGTTCATTGCAGGGGGACTGCCAGACACGGGAGGAGGCAGTGGCGCTTGGCGTGGGTCTGTGCAACAACGGTTTCATGCACCATGGTAAGTGCAGGACCTAGAACTCTGCTTGGGGCCTCGAGAGCCAGCTTTGCGTATGTGGTGTCTCAGCATCAAATGCTGTGCTTTGGCCTCCCCTGCCCCCAGGTGCCTCCCATCACTGTTGCTGGTCCGTCTTGGAGAAACTGTGTTCTCTCCTTCTAGGCTCTGTGTGCCCAGCATGGTGCCGGGTTGTGCCGTGGAGGGGCTCAGAATCTGGCGTATGTACATGTGTGCCCCGCTTTGTGTATCAGACAACCCAGCCTGTCTTGTGCATGCTGATGAGCAGGTGCTCTGGCTTGGACACAGATACAGGCTGTAGAAGTGTGAGTTGGTGACAGGAGACTGGTCTTGGCAGGCCTCAGGTCATCTCCCTGCCCCCAGGTGCTTTGCTGTAACTCAGAGTTAGTGAACTTGCTCTGCAAAGGGCCAGGCAGGAGGCCACAACACTGGAACAAAAGGGGTTTGGCTAGGTGCTAATAAAACTTTATTTAGGAAAATAGGCTGGGGGTCATAGCTTTCTGTAGGCCATTTGTCTGCCTGTGCTCATGGCCCAGTTCTAGGCTCACCTTAGCTCACTCCCCCACCAGGCTTAGCTCCCCGGTGGCCTCAGTTTCTCTAGTCTCTCCAGGAGCCTTACAGTTTTGTCCCCTCTGCTGCCCATTGCCTCAGCGGAAGGGACCAGGCTTGGCCACCCATTGGGACTGTTTCCTTCCCAGAAACCGTTTGTACCCTCCGATAGCGCTGGCCCTGCCGCCTGCCCTCTGCAGGAGCCTCTCATTTGTGGCAGAGGATAATTGTGGTCCACTCAGCCTTGTTCCCGGAAGGCAGCTGTCTGGGGATGCTGTACAAGGAGGGGCACTTGGGCAGCCCTGAAGCCCTCGGGGCCCTTCAGGGAGGGAGATGGCAGGCTCTGCAGCTCCCCCGCACCCTGCCACGAACTCAAATATGTGCTAAAATAGGAAAGGGCTGAAAGTTAGGGTGTGGCTGTGGCAAAAGGGCAGGGTTAGCACAGAGTGGAGGAAGGGACGGCATCTCCCGCCACGTCTGAACTGAGCCTCAGAACCGCGGGAGTCTTCAGGGAGGGATTTAAGCAGAGAGGGAAGGTGAGGCTCACCGTAGCAGCCTTAGAGCCGTCCCAGGGACTTGGTCTTCTTATTCTGCTAGAGGAGAAAACTGAAGCACAGAGAGGTTAAAGTATTAGATGGAGGGATTTGAACCCAGGTCTGTGTGCTCAAAGCTGGGAAAAGGGAGCAGGGCCTCCCTTGGCTGTGCTGGTGACTCAGAAGTCTTAATACTGCCGTGTCTGCTGGGACTTCACTGCTCAAATGCAGCACTGACTCTTCCTCCAGCTCTGGAATCCTCTAACCCCATGTTTACAATGGAGACTAAATAAGCAGGCTGCTTGGAGCCTGGCTGCCCTGCTCGGATGCAAGTAGCAATTTGTGTGTCTGTTTGTTCTGAAGAGGTAATCAGGGTGACCCAGGAACACACTCACATAACCCAGGAACACTCACACACAGGTAGTTTCCTTGGAGGAGGAACCACCACCTTGAAGAAGTGGGGTCTGGAGGTGTCTGTGCTCAGGCTGCCTTACCCCAGAACCTCATGGGCCTTCGGCAGCTGCTAACTCTGGGCCTTGCTGTATCCTCTTTTTTGTTTTTCAAGACAGGGTTTCTCTGTGTAGCCTAGGCTGTCCTGAAACTCACATAGTAGACCAGGCTGGCCTCTAACTAGGAGATCCATCTGCCTCTGGCTCCCAATGTTGGGATTAGAGGTGTGCACCACTATTCCTGGTCCTTTGTTTGTTTGTTTGCTTGTTTAAAATATGATTTCTTGTTTTAAATTTGTGTGTGTGTGTGCATGTGCATCACATCCCCTGGAGCTAGGCTTGCAGGTGGTTGTGAGCTACCCAGTGTGGGTGCTGGGGAACCAGCCTGGGTGTGTATGTGTGTGGCTGCATTCATGTGCATGTGAGGCCAGAGGTGGACATTAGACGTCTTTTCTCAGTCACTTTTCATTTTGGTTTTTGAGACAGGGTCTGTCTCTGAACCCAGAGCTGGGGTAGACTTGGGCTGCACCTGGCATTTATATGGCTACTGCGAACCTGAACTTGGGTCTTGATGCTTGCACACAGCTTGAGCCATGTCAGATTTTTAAAGAATCAGATAGCTTGCCCTTCATGTGGAGTTTACACTTTGGTACGCAATTTTGGTACACTCTCTCTGCCAAGCCACATTTGTCCAGGACTTGCTTCTAGCCTGTGGCTGCCGGTTGGCAAAGGCTGCCGAGCCACTGCCATCTGACTATGTACTGTGTGTCTGTGGCTTACAGTTCTCGAGAAGAGTGAATTCAAGGATGAGTCCCAATACTTCCGCTTCCACGCTGACGAGGAGATGGAGGGGACCAGCAGCAAGAACAAACAGCTTCGTAATGACTTCAAGCTGGTGGAGAACATCCTGGCCAAGCGGTTACTGGTAGGAGCACAGTAGGACTACCGTACCTTTCTTCCCGAGTCTCCTGTGGCTCCGGAGCAGCTTCAGCCAGTGGCCAGAGCAGGGCATGCAGCTCTAAGCACGAATCTCGGGCTCAGGAAGCCAGGTCACTGAATCGCACTCCTCCCAAAGCACTGGGGTTGCAGGTGCTCGTGCCCTTCATCTACCCCACACCCATAGCTTCCTGGTGTCTCCCTAGTCACCTATGACACTGTAGGCTTCAGGAGTCTGTGTCCTGCCTGCATTCAGGAGCCTTGAGGGTTTGCAGTTGGGAACATTTCTCCGTTAGGTCAGAAATGCTGGTATCTTAGCTCACCTGGGTGCTGTGCCTGCTGTCTGGCATGCTTCTCCCATCTCTGAGATTATCCGGTCTTGCTCCCCCTGGCGTTCCTCTTGTGTTCTTCTACTCCAGCCAGAGCACATTCCCCATCACATGGTAGACTGTCCCCTCCACACACGATCAGAGGCACAAGTGGGGCAGGTTCAGTAGAGTTCCCAGTGCCCACGGAGCTCCTGCTGACTCACTGTGGGTGCGTGTGTACCCACACGCCAACTCCCAGGATCCCAGCTCATTTCCTGGCCATCCTGCCCTGGGGAATGTGTCCCCCCAGTTCCCTTTTACCTATTCTTCTGGCAGATAGGATCTCTTCCCTTCGTGTTAAAGGGCTACTGAGCCCTTGCTGTGAGGACAGCAGAGACTCTGTCTGGGCTGGAGGGGTGGGAGGGTGAGAGAAGCAAGCTGGCAGGTGATCAGTACCAGCCTCTGGGAGGAGAGGGTGGCATCCCCTCATTCGACATAGTTGTGTTTGGCACCTACTCTGTCCCACGACATTCTGATGTCACTCCAGTCCACTGGCCTGGCCCTGCAGTCCAGTCTGCACCCTTACCCTGCAGACTTGGGGCCCCAGCTGCTGGATCGTAGTCCATGGTGTGAGCAGGGTGGTATTGCTCCCACCTCGCTGCCTCAATTGCATCTTGGCCTCGGGCTTTCAGATCCCGCCGCAGGAGGACGACTACGGCTTCGATCTCGAGGAGAAGAACAAGGCTGTGGTGGTGAAGTCTGTGCAGAGGGGCTCACTGGCAGAGGTGAGACCCCAGGGTGGCCACTCAGTGGGGCAGTGTCCTCCTGGCTGGCAGAGGTGAGACCCCCCCAGGATCCACTCAGTGGGGCAGTGTCCCAGCTGGCAGAGGTGAGACCCCAGGGTCCACTCAGTGGGGCAGTGTCCCAGCCCGGTATGTCTTTATGTCTTTTGGAGGTGGCACATCTCAGCAGGTTCTGGGATGCCGGCTGATGCCTTTTTTATTTTTGCTTCTGTGGGGAAACTTCAGTCTGGAACTTGTCTGACATGCAGGGTAGCTGGGAAAGGGGACTGCGGTTCTGGCATGTTCCACCAGCGCCACCTGCTGTACTCCCGGGAATGTACAGGGAAAGTGGAAGTCTCCCTTGAAGGATTTCTTTCTTAACTCTCTCGTGGCACCTCATGGCCCACTGGGTTAGCAGGAGGTGGGGGGTGGGGGTATAGACGTTTGGTTCGTGTTGATGTTCATTCCATATTATTGGTTACATTCTCATGAACACAAAGTGGTCACCCCACTGACCTTGGTGCCGTGACAAGCAATGGCTGGCCCTGACCATTTCCTCCTGAGGGAATTGCCACCCACCCTTGCCTCCTTGATCTTTTATTTACAGCTCAGAGCTCAGAGCCTGGGCTCACACACCACTTACCACTCGTCCAGAGGGAATGAATGAGCTTCCTGGTGCTTCTCTCTAGATGGCTGGCCTGCAGGTGGGGAGGAAGATCTACTCCATCAATGAGGACTTGGTGTTCCTGCGGCCCTTCTCTGAGGTGGAGACGATCCTTAACCAGTCTTTCTGTTCCCGCCGCCCGCTACGCCTCCTGGTAGCCACCAAGGCCAAAGAGTGAGTGTGACCCCAAGTCTTCCTGATCTAACTGCAGGTGTCCCAAGTGCACGTGTGTGTGAGTGGTAGCTCAGACTTGAGGACACAGGCCCGTCAGTATAGATACAGTTCCTGCCTTCCGTAGATTCAGGTGGAGTTGGGGTGTGGACAGGGAACAGATGTACACAGGACAGGAGTGAGGTGATGAGTCAGATGGAGGTGGATGTGTATGGTTGAAGAAGACAGAGTGTGCAGAGAACAGGGGCACAGGGGCCAGAGAGATGCCACTGGGGACAGTGGTGGCACTCAGAGATTACAGAGAGTCGAGGGGGGGGGATCCTGGGGCTGAGGGCTCTGGAAGGATGAAGAATCTGGCACAAAGACCCTCGGGTCACCTTGTTCACAGCATGGTGGAGGGACAGAGGCAGTGAGGGGTTGGAGTGGAGTGGGAGACAGGAGAGGTGGATACAACCAAGGGGCCAGGCCCTGTGGCTCCTTATGCCCGTGGCAAGGTCCCATGGATGGCCACTGGAGATGGAAGCTTCCCCGGGGCTGCAGGTAGAAACAGGTGGCAAGCTGACAGCTGCACAGCTTGCAGGTCAGGGTGGACCACATCTACATGTAGGTGCAGAGGGCATACTTCTATTTTAAGATTATGTATTTGGTGTAATTGATCCAAATGTTGGCTGTGAGCTGTGGAGAGTTTTCAGTGAACCGACGGGGGAAGGGGGGAGTTAAACGACCCTTTCTCAGGGGTCATCTAAGACCATTGGAAAACAGAGATTTGCATTACAATTCATAACCATAACAATATTACAGTTATGAAGTAGCAATGAAAATGATTTCATGGTTGGGGGTCACCACCGCATGAGGAACTATACTAAAGGGTCTCAGCGTTAGGAAGGTTGAGGACCACTGGTTTGGACTATTTCTGTAAGAAGAGATGATGTAGGGGAAAGGTGACAGGTAAGGCTTGTCTGCTAGGTGCCAGAGATGGAAGTCCCCAGGGTTTAAAGTTCTGAGAACAGGCTCTCAGGGCGATTCTTCCTGCCTGGTAGGCATAGAAGGAACCATACTGTGTGGTAGGGACATGGCTGAGGCAGGGCGACAGAAATCTGCATGGCAGTTTAAGATAAGTGGCACCTGCTGCTCCCCTTAGCTGGTGCCTCCCCTTGACACCTGCTACTCCAGCTGTGTCTCCATGATATCCAGACCCCTGCTGCTCCCTCCCCTTGATATCCGCCCCCCCCCAGCTGGCGCCTCCCCTTGATATCTGCTCTCCAGCTGGTGCCTCCCTTGATATCTGTGCCCCACAGCTGGTGCCTCTTCATGATATCTGCTTCCCCATCTAGTGCCT